GTCATGCTCTTTGCCAGCTGGAACTGTAATAAACAGCCGGGTGGTTCTCATAAGACAGGGTCAGTGCCCACCAGCCATTGTGGAAGGTGAGACTTGGAGTAGTCGCCACATTTTTCTCGTAAAGATGTTTAGGGAAGATGTTGTTTTTGGCGAAGACGGCACAAGATCCCAACTAGGAATTACCTGTGGGATAAGCAGGCCCTGCTTAGATGCAAGGACGCTACCTGAGCGACGCATTCCACTATGTGGTGTTCTGGCTTGCGAGATCAGTGCTTGAACCGTGCCGTAGACGATCGTTCTCTGTTGATCGGTAAAAAGGATCTTGGAGAACAGAACATCTCGGTACGGGAGAATTGGCAGCGGTGACCGATCCATGTCCGGCGCCACAGCGCGGAGAACCGGCGGCGGTCCATGACCGGTCCATGTCCCTCGCCATAGCGCAGAGAACCAGCAGCGGTGACCGATCCATCCCCCTCGCCACAGCGCGGAGAATCGGCAGCGGTGACCGGTCCATGTCCCGCATCCCAGCTCCTGCCTGTCGCCTGCCAGAGGACGGCAGCGCCCCACTGCCGGCGACGCCCGGTGGCAGAGGACCGGTGTCGCATCGCTCATCGCTGTCCCTGTTCGTATCTGAGGAGTCCTCCGTCCATTGTTGTCATCTGATGAGTCGGATGTCTATTGTTCGTGTCCGGAGGCCCGCGTTCTTCTGCGCACGTCGGCTCCTCCTACAAAAAGCTCAAGCCGAGCCTGTGTTTTCATATGGCGTGGCAGACCTTCTAGGAAGTTTCTTAGAGGGAAAACGCTGTTCTTGCCTCGTTTCGTGTCATGCAGGACCATAGGAATAGTTTTCAACTGTGTCGCGTATGGGGCGACTACTAGTTCTTGTTCCTTTGACCTTCCCCCATTTTCACAGACGAGACTTAGTTGCAATATTGATATCATTCTGTGCAATCTCGCCACAAAAGTGATGTGTACATCAGATGCTATTTTATTTGGTAAAAGCAAGAAACGTGTGCATGAAAGTGTGAAATGCTCCATATCTTCCAACGTGTGAGCTTGGCCGACCTTTTACATACGCGTTCCAGCTTGCTGCATAGCTGTATAATACCATGCAAAACGGGGAAATGCGCTATAATTCGAGTCATTGAAGAACATAGAGGACCAGATTTCCAAGGATACTGGATGTTCAACAATGCCTTCATCGTGACCCTGTCAGGATCAGGCGATGCCACTTCACCGGTACCCGAAAGGCTTCCAACAATGTCGGGTAGCGTCTCGTATGATGACACACACACACACACACACACACACACACACACACACACACACACACACACACACACACACACACACACCACACACACACACACACACACACACACACACACACACACACACACACACACACACACACACACACACACACACACACACACACACACACACACACACACACACACACACACACACACACACACACACACACACACACACACCACACACACACACACACACACACACACACACACACACACACACACACACACACACACACACACACACACACACACACACACACACACACACACACACACACACACACACACACACACACACACACACACACACACACACACACACACACACACACACACACACACACACACACACCACACACACACACACACACACCACACACCACACACACACGTACACATACACACAGACACACACAAAAACGCACGCACGCACGCACACGCACACAAGACGTGACAAAACAAGCTGATATTCCTATAGCGTCCCTTTTCATAAGTATGCAGCAACGACAGAGCTTAACTTACATTGCTTTAAAAGCTTGCTTACGGCGCACTTAGAGCTTACATGGCTTGCATACCTTAACATGATCCAAAATGGCTGATCCTTGAATGAAATGATTGTGGAAGTCCGCCTTGTCCTACTCAGTGGTGCAACCAGCGTCCAACGTCGTCGGCTGTCGCACGTTACTGATTACCGGACCTCGGACTTTGCTAGAATTTGTATGAACTGAAGGCATGGGCTGAATAAAACGTGATCGCATGCGATCGCACATCCTGTCGCGGGCTGCCATCTCTCTCTCTCATATTTGGCGTACGGAAATATGTACACATTCAGAGAAATAGAGAGAGACAGAGAGAGAGAGAGAGAGAGAGGAGAGAGAGAGAGAGGAGAGAGAGAGAGAGAGAGAGAGAGAGAGCAGAGAGAGAGAAGAGAAGAGGAGAGAGAGAGAGAGAGAGAGAGAGAGAGTAGAGAGAGAGAGAGGAGAGATAAGATAGAGAGAGCGAGTAGAGAGATCAATAGAGAGAGAGAGAGAGACGCTAGACTCTAGAGAGAGCTAGAGAGAGAGTCTAGATCGGAGAGACGGAGAGATAAGAGGGCCACTGTCTGAGAGTAGACAGTAGAGAGAGAGAGAGAGCGAGATAGCGCTAACGATGGAATATCTCAAAAGGAGAGGAATGAGGAGCAGAGACGAGAGATAGGAGAGAGCTGATATTGAGGGGAGAGTGCGAGTAGCGAGAAGCGAGCGGGGCTGAGTGGAGCAGGAAGCTCTCGCGGGTAGCGAGGAAAGAGAGAGATTCATATCAAATGTTAGGTGCATTTTTACACCCACAACTGGAATAAGCAACTCATTGGCAATATCGTTGGCGCTGACAACATAATTAGTAGGGTGCGGCGGCTTCTCATGCTGAAAATAGCCGACCATTAATATACCAGGTGCGGGTTAAAAGAGGACAGTCACCAATCATTAGGGGACAAATATGGTCATACGAATGATCATGAACAATGTCTTGAAACATTGATTAGTCTTAAGATATACTGTTTTAATCAGGCACGCAGATCCACAAAATGATTTGCGGATTTAAGAGGAGAGAGGGCTACACTAACCCACAAAGTAAGCAAACACGTGTTTCTGTCCTAAATTGATGTTCAGAGAGCTCTCAAATAGAGTCATTTGTCAACGAAGGTGACAAAATCACACTGCACGTCACCGAAAACGGCATCTAGACCCACATATTCAAGGTCAGGCACCGTTTCACTCGAACAGCATCTGACTTTTGATGACATACGCAGTATTCCAGTCCGACGATACGCTGTTCAGTGAAGCTTAGTGTGGGTGATACTCGCGTGCAGCGGCGTGGCATCCGTTCATCGCCGTATCTTCGCAACGACCAAAGATGCCCTTCCGGAAGACAGCTGGCAGGTCGGTTTTCACGTTATTTATTGCTTAAACAACAGACTTTACTTACACTACGGTACAAAACGTGTTGACGTCTGCACCCAACGGTCGCACTTGCGCGCACACCACACAGACACCCGCCGATGCACGCGGCGCAGTAGCGAGCTCCGCCGCTCCGAACGGTCCGCGCGCCTCGCGGCTGTCGCGCCGCAGCGCCACGGGCCACCGAACACCAAGCGCCGCGTGCCCCGCGTCGGCGAGCCGCCATCCAGCCACCGGGCAGCAAGCGCACGACGGCTGGTGGCCGTGAGCGGCGCGCGGTGCCCGCGAGCGCACGCGGGCGCCGCCCGGTCGCGGTCGCGCGAAGGCGGTCAAAGGAAACGTTATGGACCTGTGTAGTAAGCCATTCTTTGAGCAATGTCGGATGGCGACCCGAAGCGGTCGCGTGCGGCTGCATAGGCCGGTGGCTAAGGACCTGCGTGATTTGAAAGCTGGTTCAAGTGCGTACGAATTCGGATATTCAATCCGAATATCCAACCGGATATTCAATCCGGATATCCAATCCGGATATTCAATCCGGATATCCAATCGGGCAATCCTGCGAACGCTGGCTGGCTTTGGTTGATTGCCGTGCGTCGGCGCGAACGCGTGGCCGTGGCACTGCTTTTCTCTGGTCTAATTTCCCTGTACCTATGCCGGAGATGAGATTTGACTAGTCTGACGCGACACGCGGTGGCTTCCACCAGATGAGTCGACTTTTGACTGCTGGGCGCGTGGAGCATGCTTCCCTCATTATATTTCACGCCCAGTGAAAGCGCCGAGCCACCAGGCCACACACAGTTCCGCTCGCAGATGAACAACACCAGACCAGAAATTGCAAAAACGCGACGTGCTCCATCGGACAGCCGCCAGTTACTTGCGCCACACCGCCCACCACACCACGCAGCTGACGGTGCTGACATGTTCCGGGCGTAGGTCAATGTCAGCGACGGCCGCAGTGTCAGCGCGGTCAGCATCGCTTAGTCCTGGAACAGCGGCTCCAATGGGAAAACTACTAAATCCAACTGAAATCTGCCATCTGATGATACTCAATGGTTGGCATTGTCCAGACACATTGATATAGTCGGCAGCGCCACGACTGCAGTCGGAGTGGCGGCCCGCAGACAGCGATGACGTCATCACACTGCATTCACGTGACGTCATAGCAATGGCCCGCGCTGTTTTGACGTCACAGGAAATGCACCAACCAAAGTGCTCTCGCTCGAAAATAGGCATTCCACGCAGGGTGGCGCCGTCGGCGCCGCCGGCAGCCGCCGACAGCCGGCGAGTCCTGCAGCACCGACTGACGTGACCACCGCCTCCACCAATCAGCGGACGACGAGCCGCGCTCTCCGCCGCTGGATAAAGGTCTAACGTGTCGGCAGTCACCGCCTCGGCAATCAGCAGCAGTCGCGCTGCACGGCGCAATCTCACCAACAACAGCACACCCGTATTCTGTAAAAAATGAAGCCGGCCTCCGCGGCCGCACGGGTCGGCGTGTTTGGATGCGGACCGCAGCGCTGACGCGCCGGCCGCCACCGCGGCAGGCATTGAGCATTTCCTTTTAACGGCTACGCAACCCACCAAGTGTTCCTCGCACCGAAGAATCTGCTACGCTACGCTACACGGGTCGGCTAGTCTAGCGGCGGCGGTTACCTCGATATTGACTAGCTGGCGACTGACGCCGCCACCGCGCGAGACGCCGGCGGGCTCGGCGGCGCCACTGGGCGGCCCCGCTAACCGGCGGGCGGGGTGGGGCGAAATGAGCAGAGCCACGCTGGTGCATCACTGCCGCTTGTATGCGCACAACGTGCAGGGCACTCATGCGCTCCGGCTAGCCCGTGTGGAAGCCCGCCTGTCGCGCTGCCCTTAGTCTCAGTTCAGTAAGCTTGCTGGCGTCGAGGGGTGGTTGGCCGATACTGCACGCTCATGATGTGTTCCCATGCGTGTCTACGTCGGTTAGCGGTGGAGGTTTGAGTGGTGATTACACGCTTACCAAGCGAATCCGCACGACAACACCATGGGTGGATTTCGGTTGATGTTTGGAATTGTCGCAGCCAGTGAATTCTCGCGAGCACACCTGCCATCTGCCTCGGTTGTTATGAGCTTGCAATCCCGCGATTGCCCTTTTCAGTTCAAGGTGATTCACCTCCCGGTTGTACGCAACACTCATCGAAAACACTCACCACACCACAGCGGCTAGCAGGAGCAGCAGCAGCTAGCTCGGGTCTGCCGGTCCTGATGCTGCTTGGCCGGAGCACAGTCATCAGAATCCGCCGGCCAACATCGGCAGCAGCGCACCAACACTCGTCCGGGTTCCCACGGACCACACCACAGCCTGCAGGCGTCACCGATGGACCACGCCACAGCCTGCAGACGTCACCGACAGGCCGTGACGACGGCGACCCCACGGCGGGCGCGCTGGCGGTGGGCACAGAAGTGGCCGGAGGACGACGCCTGTTGTGACGAAGTGGCGGTCTGCCCCCAGTGCGGCGGTGGCTGTCTACCGGCCTTGGTAGATGTCGATAATCTTGTCTTGGTCGACGTACTCGAAGATGAAAGGAGCGTCCATGAGGATGCTGATGGTTCCAGCTGTCGTTACCGCGAAGAAGAGGTACAACTGAAGCCGGTCTATCACCATGGCGACGTACTTCCAGTCCTCGCGAATCTGTGGGCCGGCGCAAGATCAGACGGGAGATGAAGGTGCGATTTACGGGTCGAAGGATCACCGCTCTAGCGCGTAAAGAGTGGTCACATAGAAACGTTTCAAGGTTGAGAATCACAAGCTCAGAACGCAGACATTTCAGCCATTGGCCGCTAGAACGCCTGCTCCACAAGACGGAGCGGCGTGGTAACAAACAGAACGCGCGGTGCTGACAGCAGCCTTTAACGAGGTCGACCTCGTCCCCAGCTTCGTGCGTTACCATCGAACATTGTGCGCCGCAGCTGATCACCAGCCAATTCCGAAGCCAAGACGTGAACGAAACCAAATGGTCTGATCAATAGGCAGAACATTTCAAGCCTTCAACACCCTTCACCCATGTTTCTGAGTCTTAAATAGAGTTATCGGACCTTTCAGAGAGATTTAAAATTCCGCTGACTCCCCCTACTGCACCGACATTCAAAAAGACGCTTCTCCCCAACCCTAGATCTCGACGGCCGACCCCGCTGCCCGACCGCGCGAACACAGGCGAGCCCCGAGCGATGGCTGCTCGGGCCGCGAGCGCGCCACCCTCACCTGGATGTACTCGTTCTCATTGCGCAGGTGCTCGGCGATGAACTCGACGGCCTCGGTGGCCTTGTAGGCCTCAGCCGTGAGGAAGACGGAGTCGGAGGCGTCGCTGTCGCGCCGCATGTCCGAAGGCGGCTCCAGCCCGCCGCGGTTGATCTTGCAGTTGGGGTGGTGCAGGTCGGAGAGCTCCATGGCCTCCATCTTGGGCTTGGTGTACTTGGCCGACAGGTCGGGGCTGCTGTAGGAGGGCACGTGCCCGCCCGGCGGCCCGCCGGCCGGCCCCGCACCCGGGCCCTCCATCATCCACCGCAAGCGAGTCTTTTTCGGACGCTTCATAAATAAGAAAATAGGCATATACTTGAGGAAGACGACGCGTATCCAGTTTGGCATGTGGTGGGTGCGCGGCCCCCGAAAGTTCCAGTTGATTATAACCACAGTCACCAGGATGCTGACAGTGTTCATCACGAAGGTGAAGAGCAGGTACTTGGCGATGAGCGGCAGCACCAGCGACGTCGGCGGCAGGATCTTTGAGACGAGCAGCAGGAACACGACCAGGGAGAGCAGGATGCTGATTCCCAGGGTGACCTTCTCGCCCGCCTCGGCCGGTAGATAGAACACGAGCACACACAGAAACGAGATCAGCACCGTGGGCAGGATCAAGTTCACCGTGTAGAAGAGCGTCTTGCGCCGGATCGTGATCCAGAACGTGATGTCCGTTTCCTTCGGGGAGGTCTGGTTCTTATGGTTGAGGTAGGCGGGCACTTCGACGATGTCCCAGGTGCCCGACTTCCAGTAGTCGGAGAGGTCGACGAACTCCTTATTGTTGAAGAGCTTCAGCGACACCTGGTCGCCGTTGAAGGTCCACGAGCCGAACTTCATGACACAGGTCTGCTGGTCGAACGGGAAGTACGTGACGTCGATCGTGCACGAGCTCTGGGGAGAAGCAGACGAAGCGCAGTTAGAGCCAGCCAGGGGCGGACCGAGCCGTCTAAGTCGTTGCGATTAAAACATATGGCAGTCGACAGTCCTCGCTTGCCTTTACTTTGACGGAGGCGGCGGCAAAATTCAGCATCTTCCGCCAGTGTTCTTATCAGCACAGCATACGCGGACTGCCATTCGATTACGCCTGCCTCCTGTCGGCGCTTCATTAAGAGGACAGCTGCATCTGTGTCATTAGTCGCCTCTCGGGGGCAGGATTTAATGAGATTCCGGCGTGCCAGCCGTCGACAAAGCTGATCCCTTCGAGCTTTGTTTACAGCAGAACACGGCTGGTGTGCGTGCCACGTCACCGGCGATTAAATTCCTGTCCGCAACAGAATGTCCGTGAGGCTGTGAAACCGGCGAGCCCGAAGAGAGTGCCCGGATGGCTGAGCCTGTTGGAGGGGAAGGGGAGCGGGGAGCCTGGAAGATGGACATAAGATTCAATGAAAAGGCGGTTCAGGAACTGCGCGCAGGGGATGAAGACACCTACCAATATCTGCATATGGTCATCCCTCGTCGCATGCGCATAAGCCATGGCACGGGTAATCGGAATTCTTCCACCCGAATAGGCTGGACGGTGTCACAGAGCAAGACTGACGACGAGTACTTAATGTTCGGTTGCTTGCTGAGGCAAGGAGGCGGTAAGCTCTTGTGCCTCAGGCGAAGCTCTGGCCTCACAGAGACGTTTACAAATTTTGTTGAATTCACGTATCAAGTTACTAGCTTTCAAATCACCCGCCGGGGACACCATATACCTCAATGGAAAATTTGTCTCACTACATATCATATATGAACCACAAACGTGGAAGAGGCAGCATTCACACGGAGTCCCTGTTTTCGTTTCCAGGCGGGGTGCGTCGTTTCATTTCACTATTTCTCGCGCCCAGCCGCGCCCGGAAGCTAATGAACGCGGCACACTCTCGTGTCGGAATCGGGTGTCACTCCGGCGGCGCGCGGCGACACAAACATTCGGCCGACAGCGGCCGACAGCTGGAAATTGTCGGCACGACGCGGCGAAAATATCCGTCCGGCGCCGCCGCCGCCACCGCCGCCGCCGCCGCCGCCGACGGCGACGACGGTGCGGCTTTTCTTGCACCCGCCGTGGCAGCATGCGCCTTCGTGCGGCAGCGCTGCCTTTGTCCAGAGGGCATTTCCGCTTAGCTGGATCTATACAGAGTAATAGATCAGGCTATTTTCCGGCAGCCTGAGCCGCTTTCTTGCTCCACCGCTCGGCCCATTTGAAACCAAATAAACGAAGACTTGATCATGCTTCTAGCGCCGCGGTTCGCCGGCGGCGTCCCCCCACGGCGTCCCACGAATGTCTGCCAGTAATATGCGTCAAGAATTGCCTGTCAGATGGCATACCAGCGGGCTGCGTACATAATCAATGAGGCCACCACAAGGACGGCCGGGCGCGACGGAGGGCGGGGCTCAGCGCGGCCCTCTCTGGAGACACATGCCCATTGACCACAGCCCCCCCCCCCCCTCCGCGCACCCACACACACGCGGCGAAGAAGGGGAGGGGCGGGCGTAGATTATCAGGTCCTTCTGGAGGTACCCCGGGACGGATCGAAAGGGCGACGGACGTGACAGAAGCTCCTTCCGAAGAAAACGCCGAAAATCACCCTCCTTGAATTGGTTTCCAGAGAACTAGCGAAGTATTCTAAGCTCCGAAATTCTCTTCCGCTACTGTGTGCTGGATTCGCCTATGAAGTCGCTCGCGTCCACGTCTGCCGCCGCTCAGCCGGCGTGAGCAGACTGTGCAGGGTTCTGCGGAGCTTCTCCGGAGGCCCGCTCCGACAGGCCACACCCACCGCGCGCTCCGGGTGGGCGGGGGGGGGGACGCTGCGGACCGGGACGGGGAGGGGGGACCGGGGACGCCGGCGGGGCTCCGCCGCCAGCCGGCCCTGCCGCAGACGCCGGCCCAAAGTTATGTGAGACGCAGCGCTGTTCAGCGAGGTTCAAGAGGCCGTTTGTCCGGCAGCACACCAAAGAATCGGACAACTTCCACGGGCCAAGCTGATTCAGAGCCCGGGTCGCAGGCAACGACTGGCCCCAATGACGCGGTCCCCGCCGGCGCGGTTATTGCACGGCACCACTATTAATGGACGATACGCCACGGTCAGTGAGTGGGGGCAAAGCGCTTCCGAATTCGCTGCTCAGCGCGGAGGCCGGTCGGTTCAGAAATGTGATAAACAGCAATGTAGTACGTTTTAATGCTTTCGTCACTCGTTTTTTGGCCGCGTGACGAGGTGCTGTGAAAACGTCCAAAGCGCTAAAAGCGCTTCAAAAATGATTATTTTCTTTACCATGCCACTTCCCCTCCACTTTTCCCACTTCCTCTTCCCAGCAATTTATCCTCCTACCCATACCCCTCCCGCCATGGATCTCTTCCTTCCGCCCTCCGCCTCCCTTCATCAATGTCTCTCGCCCTCCCACCCAGGAGGAGAAAATCGCCGGCCCGGTGTTACGGCTGCGCTGAGGGCGCGCCGGCGGATCGCCTCCGGCCATATCCGGGTCACGGCCGCAGGAGGCCGATCCCCTAATCTCGAGGCCGCAGCGGCCAGATGAGGCAGTTGCGGCGCACTACAGACTATCGCCCCACAGCCGTCGCGGGCACCGGCCGGCGCCGGGCCGGGCCTGGACGGCGGCCGTCGATCCGTCGGCGCGAATAATTAGTCGGTGCGGTGGGCGGCGCGAGGCGATCCACTCCTTCCTTATCGCGCCACGCACTGCTCGGCGCCCCGGGCAGTCGCATCTCACCCTGTGTCAATATGGCACACGGCTGGCGTTACCAGATCAATAGCCCCTCGCCTCTTCAAAGCGACGCGCCGCCCGACCGTCTCCATGACAACGCGTTCGCGGGCGAGACGGCGGCGGCAGCGGCTGGACGGTCGCGGCCGACTGCGCCAAATGGCTGGCCGCCTGTGAATGAAATGTCGCCGGCGCACTCGGCAATAGGCAGCCGCGGCTGTCCGCCCTCCGTCCCCTCCCCTTCCCTCCTTACTCTATCCCTCCCCTGCCGGTGGCGGGCGACTAACGCGAGGTGGGCGCGGGGAGGCCCGCCGGCCGTCCCGACTCCAGACCGGGACTTTAGCCTGTTTGAGAGATGTGGTTCTATGCTTGCGATTTGTTTCAAGGTTACATGGATAATGCTGGCTGGCTGCTCTGCAAACAGCTTCGCCACCAGGGCGCTTTACGATAAATCCGCGCCGAATCCCCGGATGGAACACCACCATGTGTTAAATTTTGATGCTGAACGGCAAATGGGGCCGGTCACAGTAATGTTCTCTACTTTCGTGAGAATGGCTTGAATGGCAGTAAAGAATGGAATCAGCGCGCATGGCTTAGGGCGCTCAGCACCATTCTGTGAGATGCTGAGGTCGATAATATCGAAGACCAGTAGCTCTCTTCACGAGACGAAACAAATACAGCCAACTCATGTCGCCGGGAGATGTTCCAAGCACAAGCTCCGTGTCACGTAGCGTTTTGTATCAAATTACTCAGATTGGTGTTCCAACGCACTATGGGTAAGATTACCTTCAGCAGTGTTATTCAGCGAGTTGGCATAAATCGCTCAAAACAAGTGATTGAAGGCAGCTTTCCATGCTAATTCAGAGTCTGCACTCTGTATCGTAAACGTCACATCATTGACTTCCCCAGGCTTAAATCAAGGTGGTTGAACTGAGATACCATGCCTGACAAGGTTTCTTGGAATTTAGCTTGTGTAAGGGGGGATTTCACCCGCTAAATTCGAGTGTAACGTTATTTCTAAACTACTGACGATGTTAAAAATCATATGGTTCATACGCGCTACGTATAACGAGGCACACATATATACTCGCTGATTGGAAACCTGTCTAGTCGGAGTCGGTGTCGCCTGTGTTAGCTTCTACCAGATTTTGTGAGACTCCTAGAGGATTCTATTGTACGACGGCGGGTGCCTCTTCTAATAATGCCCTGTCACCTTCCGCTGCTCACCTACGAGCTGGTGATGAGGTTACTCTTGTCCAATAGGTGCGCGATCTGGTCGGCGACGTCATGTAGGCTAGCCTTTTCTAACGTTTCCCACACGGTACGTTGTCAGTTCCTTATTGCGGGACTGTTGCGCGTCCTTCCTGAAGAGTCCGAGTGGGCGGGAAAGCGCGACAATGATAGCTGCTCTATGGTGTGGTACTCAGCGCCCAGACACGGCATCCAGTGCCGCGGCCAGAGGCTCACGAACAGCTCGGCTGTTTCAGGCGCCGGAATTCTCAGCGCCGGCTGGATATCCAGGCATCATGGCTTCCTGTGCAACATTCGGGTGTCAGATCAGGCGCCCGTTGACCCGGTGGCCCCGGCGGCGGTCGCCATGTTTGCGAAGGCTTGCTTATCCTTTGTTGAGTGCCGCGTAAGTCGCACGTCGATTGGGTGAAATGTCGCCCAAAAAAGGCAGTTGGGGCCCCCTTATCACATCATCGGCTGAGGAGACTAACTTTAGTCTTGGAACGGACGTCGGACATGTGTTGACCTTGCTCGCGTTCGGAGTGACCATTCTCAGATGAACGCCGGGTCGGTTTGTTCTTCCTTTCGAATTCGCCGTTTTGCCGCATGAATCCTATCTGCCGAGTGCCTGGCAGGAGATTTTGTCGCATCGTTTTAAAGGCTCGTGCCCTTTTCACTGGAACGTAGGGGCGCCGACCACCGACGGATGAAACTGGGGATCCTCCGGCAACATTTTCGTCTTCAGTCTCTTTTCGTATTCCGGCCAAAACCTCAGTGTGCCTGTTTGTTTTCACACATTTTTATCTGAGATTGTCAACGCGTTTTCAGTAACCGCGTGCGTTGCTCGATCTTCGCGATACTCACACCGCAGACTTCGGAGCAAGATCTCACCTGTGCTTCTGGTATAGCTCTGCATCCACCGTTTACCTGAATAAACGTCACAAGGCACCTCCGTGACGTGGCGACAAACGCGGCGCTGCCGAGTGCTCCTGGCAGACACGCAAACCAATTGCCGATTTACAGGTTGCCGTAAGGCACCCGCAGGCAATCTGACCCCGCAGTTCACGGGCAGGGAAACTAGCCACAGGTGTTTTATGACCCCGGGCCGACTCTGATGAAGACGGCACAGGAGATTGCTACCCACACGGGACAACAGAAAAAGAGAGATAGATAGATAGGTAGAGAGAGAGAAAGAGGGAGAGAAAGAGAGAGGGAGAGAGATATGAGAGAGAGAGAGAGAGAGGGAGGGAGAGAGAGAGAGACAGAGAGACAGAGAGGGGAAGAAAGAGAGGGAGAGGGAGAGAAGAGTGTGGCTTGAAATGGGAGCCAAAGGGAAAAAGTTGAAGGTTGAAAGCTAAGAGCTAGCGAAAATGAAGGCTGCTTACACTGCTTGCTTTCATGCGCACTGTGCACAGCTATACCTGTGAAAGTTTTATCATACATGTACTTGGTAAGTCGCTAGCTGCATCACACGTAACTTTCCTACTTCACAAAAGCAAGCGTTTTGTGTCTTTCAAGTTTCAATGAGCATTGTCCGGTCACCAGCGTAGTTATTACTGCTTCGTCCGCCGGGTGACAGGCCGCCAAAGCATGCGTCAACTGTAGCTCGATACCTTTGTTCGCATAAGTCTGTGCAGGATGTTTCTGTTGGGTTGAAACCGAATGCCTATATCTAGCACACAAAAAAAAACGCGCAAAAATAGCGCGGAACGCGACATGCCTATTTCATTCCGGTAACGCTCGTACAAATGTGTCCCCAAGAGTCTTGGTAGCCGAGTGTCTTGCTTTTTGAACAGAATAGTGCACTGGAATAAATATAACAGCTTTGTAAAGCTGAAACACATCTCTTCCATTTTCTCGCATGTAAACAAAGCCGAAGCCTGCTTGACAACCAGATATCTGCCTGGTTCCCAGTTTTGGTTTTGGTTTTCCACTGGTTCCTTCGACAAAACAAAACCACGGATCGTGGTTTCCACTGCTTTTTTCAGCAAAACAAAACCCTGGATCCTGGTTCCGGCTGGTTCTTTCCACAAACCAACATCCTGGATCCTGGTTTCCACTGATTCTTTACACAAAATAAAACCATGGATCTTGGTTCCTGCTGGATTTTTCAACCAACCACGATATTGCCAGGATGGATCTTGGTTCTTGCTCGATCCTTCGACTAAATATAAGGGTGGATCCTGGGTCCTTTCTGGTTCCGGAACCCGGCCATCAGGAACCAGGCACATATCTGTAATGGCGGCTTTGGCGGATTGGTTCAAACAAATCGGCAGAGCGATATTAGAATACAACGATAAATTCACAACTCTCCATTCAGCTTGCAACATGTCTACACGCCGAATATTTCATTTCTACGGGTTTCCACTTTTGATTTAGGCCCACTTACGAACGCAAGATGACCCATAGTGCATCACCCAGGGTGCGCAGCAGCGCAGATTCTGCAGATTGTTGTGCCAAATCACGTGCACGAGCCCCGCCTTCTGAAGCCGGCCCGTCGCCGCCCGTACCTGGTAGATAGCAGGTGGGATCCACAGCACTTCTCCGTTTGGGTGCACCAGCACGTTAGACTTGTAGCGGACCTCGTAGTTGCCGTCGGCACTGTGGTGAGAAGACCAGTTGACGTCACACTGTCACAGGCCCCGTGACGTCACCCCGTCAGAGGGCCGGGTGACGTCACCCGTCAGATGCCCGGTGACGTCACCCCGTCAGAAGACCAGGTGGCATCACCCGCCAGAGGCCGGCGCGGCGCGAGGCACAAGCACGTTACGCCGCTAATGATGGCGTGATTGATTGATGCAATTACTGGCTCGGGGTTACGGCATATAGCGCATCATCGCTCAGGCACGACGAGATGATAAACGGTCCCGTTGACAAAGGAGCCACATATTGACAACACAACAAGAAGGCTAAGGATATGATGATAGATGGCCTGGAGAAATAGGGCGCTGTCATCTGTATGGAGGCGAGAACCATCCGAATCACACTCATCGTGGGGAAACGCAGAAGACGTGACTTCAAATGATGTATACAAAAATGAGACACGCATAACAAAGACGCATGTCAAACAGTCCTTCATTTTAAGGTAGCCAGGTGCCTGATGTAAACTACGCCGTAATTTCCATCAATTTTGACACCAAGGGGTCGTAGAGCTTTCGGTTCAGTTGAGCGTTTAGCTATGATATTTTATCTTTGGTGCGAAATTATTGAGCAGCTGTGAACGTGCATGGCATTGATTATGAAAAATATTTCGTTTGGAGGTCCAGAAAAAACAACCAAGGTATTACCAAAGTTGGTTTTGACCGGGAACGCCACTAGAATGCTCGCGTGAGTTCCCAAAAGTAAAGTGCAGGCGACTTATTTGGATTAATTTTCTATGATAAGCAGCCAACCAAAGCCAGACAAGGTCAACCGCACCTCCAGTATCACTACAACCATCAGATCGCTGGCTGCTAATCGCCCACAGAGTAGAAATTTGGAAGCCCCCGAGCGATTCGTTGGGGGGGACTCTGACGATGCTATTGGTTTAGAAATCAAGTCACGGTCAGAATCGGTCGAAGTGGCCAACGGGTGGACCACTGGATATGAAGGAACTGAAAAGCATATTTGCATGAAGACAAGAAAAACAGCAGGTCGGTCATAAGCCCTATTTTCCGAACATGTGGGCTGCTGATGGATACAATCACCAAGGTTGACCTTGTTCAATGGAAGGAACTTTTATAGTGATGAGCAACAAAGGAAGATGGTAGCGCTCTAGGAAAATCGCGATTTTAAATGTAAACGGTGAATTTTAGGTCAGTCTCGAGGAAACCAGCGTGGAAGGTGCGAGGTTACAGCTGCCAGCCATTGGAGTTAGTAAAGTGAGTTGCATATTTGTATTAAAACGAGATGAAAAAGCAGATTGATCACAAAGTCCATAGTTCAAACGTTTTGGTCGAAACCGAATAGAACGAACTACATTTTGGTGGACAGAAAGAAACTTTTATATTTATTAGCAGCAAAAGCAGACGGAAGAGTTTTCTGGGAAAAAGACGTGATTCGAAAGTGAAAACCTGATTTTCAGTGCAATTTCGAGGACATTGGCACCGCCACCAGAATCAGACATGCCTTATATAGATACATCCGGCAACGGTCTAATCTTGAACTAAATGTGGCACTTGTCCTTTCCAAATATCCACCTAAAACCACGAGCTCAAATATGTTCAAGCGCCAGCCAGCTAGGCAGACATTCGCATTTCCTTTTTTTAAAAGTCGTCACCATTCATTGAAGACGACTAAGGCCAGCTAAGGGCTGCCTCCACCAATCCCGTCTCTCACACCATACGACAGATGCGAATGATTCCAAGCATTACCATCACGAATGAATTGTGCGAATTGTGCCGGACAAACTGCGTGGTACCATGGCGCCGGCTTAATGACTGTCTGCACGCCTGGCATGCCTATCCGGCAGTTAGTCTCAGCGGATGACGCGCGGCACCGAGGACGCTGGCTGGGCACTCACTTGTTGAAGAGCACGATGTCAGGCTTCCACACCTTGTCGGGGGGCAGGCGCAGCACCTGGATGCCACGGTAGTCCGACTCGTCCCACATCAGCTGGTAATCTGTCCATTTCTGTCCGACACAGAGACATAGATTACATGAATAAGCTTTAGCTTTTTTACGAGGCGTTCAACGGCCATGGCATGTCATTTATGTCATCTCCGAAAGCGGACGTGAAAGGTACCCTGCTGATTACATCAACAGTAACCAAAAGACGATCAGTAGCAAGCACCGAGCCTTCGACTTCACAGCCATTCATCAGTCAGTAGAAAAGTGCACAACGCTTGAACTGCCGCAATCTTCCCCAGAAATGTCCTCCCCATAGCTCCATTGGTTAGACTGGCTGCCTTACGATTCAGGCGCGCGTGGCGGGGCGGGTTCGAGGTCACTTTAGGTGCTCACTAGTCCCCTCAACTGGGATGGCCTGTTGACCGGTGGTGGCGGCTGTGCTTAAGGTCAGATGACGTCACAGGGCATGGCGGACGTGTCGGGCATTGCGGTACGTTCGCCACAAAATTCTGCCGTCCTGGATTTCACGATCGGATGGTAAGGGTTAGTGGTTCGCACAGCACTCACTGCTAGTGCGGCCACATATCCCAAGAAAGCAATCAAATCACGTTGTTTGGAATACATCTTACAAAAGAATAACAGTTTGAATCTGATAGGATTTTAAAACATCTTGTTGTGTTTATGGATGAGTTTTGGAGAGCCATGAACAAACTACGTTAGCAATAAGCTAACCGCTTGTCAAAGTTGGTTTAAATTGTATTTGAGTATATATATATATATATATATATATATATATATATATATATATATATATACATTTACTTATTTAATCCATCTCTTTAATACCTATAGATAGATAAGTAGATATGGATATATAGGTAGAGAATGAGATCGATAGATAGATACACCGATAGATGGGTAGATAAATGCGTCTTTTAAGATTCTCACGAGGTAAATATATTTCGACACGCCCCAAATACTGAAACATTTTATACCATCATATCTGAGATTTGCCCGGCGGGGATTATATGGCAATTTAGATAAGATAGAGATATAAATCTCCTTGCACCGTGCAGACGACAAAAACGCCCTGTAGTACGACGACAAATTGTTTTGGCAAAAAAGAAAGGTCCAGGAGACGAATTGTAACGAATTAGCTGAATGTCGATGAATGGGAGCTTTTGGATGCCACCCACAGCAAATTCACCTGCCGTCTTTCTCCCAACGCGGGCTCAGCAGGCTACTTCGTTCCTGGCTGTCAGCCAAAGCCTGAAGCCTGCTTGTGATGTACGGGCCCTCCTTCCCCCGGACAATTTTTTGGCAATGTTTGGGAAGATTGGGAGATTTTCGAGTTTTTACCACATAAACCAGCTTTAAAGAAGAGTGTCTTCCGTGTGTGATTACACACTTACGTAGCAACAGCGTTATGGCGGACTGCCGTCACAGAAGCGAAAGAGCAGCTCATGGGATTAGATAAGCCGCCTAAGTTTCTTCAAACATGGCTGGGCGTTCTCCGTGACATTGTATGGGCGGCTTAAGTGATCCGAGTTACGAGCTGTTCAGATATATTCACGATACGTGCATATATCAAAGGTGTGATAATTTCAGAAATGTTGGGCTAATTCAGAGAGGCACCACATGTTACATGATTAAGCATAGCACAAGTGCATGCCGCAACATGCAAACAGCGAGGCAAATAACAACATGATCCATGCACCAAATGAATTTCGCGCCTAGTTGTGAACGCTACAATTGGCCAAAAATGCAACTTAAATGCTTGATTGAATACAGGAGGGTCGGTACGAGCTTTGCATGTGCGTAGTATGTTGACAGCCCATAGGTTTGTGCTCTCCAGGTCTCTTCGTTACATGAAATGCTTTCGTCTTCGCAGGAAAATGACGCGATCAAAACCATACAGCAAACATGATTGCCATGTCCATCTGCGGAAAATCTTTGACTTCCTTGCATGGCGATGACCGTTGCGAGATCCTGCGGTCCTAGGCGCTGGTTTTGGCTCAGAGAATCCTGATTTCGTTACGGTCGAATAAACTCCGCAAGGCGCCCGTCTACACTATTGTCCACGAAATTCATTGACCCCTGACCTATCACCACATGCAGTGTCGGACAAATGGTGCGGTCAAAGCCGCCATGGCACCAGCAATACGGTCAGGATGGTTGTGGGTCTGAACGACGGGGAACCAAGTTTCGCACCATTAACCCGCAAATGGGCCACAATAGACCATGTAACTACGAATAGACCTGATTATGTCTGTCAAGTCCGTAATCTCCTGATCGTTGCTGCTCCCAATCGCGTTTTTGCAACACCCATTTAGCAAGCATTGCGCTTCGTCTCAAGTACACGTGCGACCATTGGCGAGACGTTTTTCTTTTGCTTCTTACATTTCTCATCAATGTAACTAGGGACGTGAGATTCAGAAATAAGCCACAATTACCTCACCGAGCCGTGGTCAGCGGGCAAACTCAGCTTCTCAATTCCGGCGTTTTCAAAACAGTGCGTCATCAAATCCCCGGAGCGCCAAGACGGACAGCGGATTTCTTCGAAACAAGTTTTATTGTTGATCAGCCCGGGGCTGACAAAGTTTTCAAATATCATGGCCGTTCAATCC